AAAGGAACTGAAGGGCGCCTAGGATCCTAGGCCTTACTTCCGGGAAAGGAGGGGCATGTACGGGAAGAGGCGAGATCTAGAGCTTATCACTCCCTTCGTGGGCGTGGCTCCACGGCTGTCCTCTGTGGTGTCATTACATCGTCTCCCCGCCCACCTGTTTCAGACACTGACACTTTTGCGCTTTGAGAGTCGTGAACTGTGACGTCAGGAGGCAGGCATCTTACATCTTCATCCCCTGAATGGGGTCCTGGAAAAGCAGCATCGATAGATGGATCTAACACCTTTGTTTACTGTTCCGTCTGCAGAGCTGAACCCTGTACTTGCGTGGTAGTAACCGTGGATCCTTCACCGCATTCTCACGTCCCTTTCCACCCGCTGGACCCGGGATGCCGGGCCTTTCTACTCGGGACCTCTCTCTGGAGGACAGGAGGCAGCTAGCCGTGAACCTCACCCGTGTCCTGGGACTCTACCGTTCCATTCTGGATGCCTACATTATCGTGAGGCCACAGGGGTGTGGGCGGGGTGCTCCTGGCGCAAGTGGTGCTCGTATGATTGCCCAGGAGCCAAGAACAGGCAGAGAGAGTCTGAAAGTTGGTCTTTTCGATCTCATTTTTTCTATGAGGTTCAATCCTTTTAAAAAAGAAAAACAACCAAACACAGTTTATTATGCGTTAGGTGAAACTTTTGTACAGCAGATTAGTTTGCTATTTAATAATTCATACACAAATTGTTCCATGAGTGGTTGCAACCCTCTCAGTGTGTCAGCACTCTCACCATTTCCATCATCCTTTCCTTCTGCTTGTTTTCCTGCCTCTTTTTTTTTTTTTTTTTTTCTTCTTTGGAACATATTCCTCATGGGTTGCCCATTTCATGTGCTAGTCTATTACTTGGCTAAAAGGTGATCACAAGGAATTACTTCAGTTCTAAGTTTGAAGACAAGAGTCTTAAGGCAAGAGTCTCAAAAGTTCCTCTGTCTTTATTAAACCAGTACACAGCAAGTGTTTAGGTTGGGAGGGGGGTGTGTTTAAAAAGGAATTAATTTAAATTTTGTCCTACATTTTTAACTCTTTCTAACCTAGAGCTTCTATTGTGCTCCCGGCCAGGGTGTTCAGTAGAGCCAAACACCATCTAGTTTAGCTGTCAGGCTAGAGTAGGCTGTGGGTCATGTGAACCATTAGTCTTTTGGACTAATTGTTTTGTTGTTTTTCTTCACTCTTCTTTACTTCAGATGTTGTTGTGAACTGTAGAGTTGAACTGACCCATAACTTACCCTCCAGCGGATTTTCAGAGGCAGTTAATTGCAGTGGATGCCCACAAGATTATAAAATCCCGGAAGCTACTCACCAATTGAGGATTAGACCATTATCTTTATTAGTAATGTTATGGACCAATTGGCAGCATCAGGATGGATGGTGAAGAGATTGAGATTGTTAACAGCTTTAGTTTGCTTGGCTCCACAATCAACAGTCTTGGCACCAGTAGCCAGGAAATTAAAAGGCGCATTGCCATGGGAAAGTCTGCTGTTAGGGACCCCTCCGAAGTACTGAAAAGCAATGGTGTCTCTCTGGAGACTAAGGTGCGTTTGATACAGGCCATGGTCTTCACAATCACCTGTTATGCATCAGAGAGTTGGACAATGACCAAGGAGGATAGAAGGAGAATTGATGCCTTTGAGCTGTGGTGCTGGAGAAGAGTATTGAGAATACCATGGACTGCTAGGAAAACAAACAGATTCATCCTGGAAAGGGTTAAACCAGGTGGCTCCTTGGAGGCAAGGATTCTGAGGCTCCATCTAACATACTTTGGACATGTTGTGAGGAGAGACCGGTCCTTGGAGAAGGACATCATGCTTGGGAGGGTGAAGGGACGGCGCAGGAGGGGAAGGCCCTCTATGAGGTGGATTGATTCAGTGACTGGGATAATCAGGTTGGGAGTGTCAGAGACAGTGTGACTGGCACAGGACAGAGCAGAGTTTAGGGCTGTTGTACATAGGGTCACTATGAGTCGCAAGCGACTCAACGGCACATAACAACAACAACATGGCAGTTGACGCAAATGTCTTCCAAGACTGTAGTCCTTAGCTCTCAATCCCACAAGGTGTTTGGTTGTTTGAGAAGTTTTTATAACTTTACCTCTTCTATGTTTATTTATATACATGCAGCACATGTTGTTATGTGTCATTGAGTCACTTGTGACTCGTAGCAACCCTATGTACAACATCTCTGAACACTGCTCTATCCTGAGCCAACCTTACTGTCTCATTCACACCTTCCCCCATTACCCTAGTCACTAAGTCAATCCATATTATCAAAGGTCTTCCTCTCTTGCCCTGTCTCTCCACCCTTCCAA